TATTGAATATAGTTAACAGCTTTTGCTATTGAATTGACTGAATACTTGTTGCTATTTAATTAAATCAATAATTGTTGGGAGACGACTCGTTATATTGTGAATTGAACAAGAAGAAAATGTAAGATGAAGAAAAAAACATTTTCCGTTTGTATTTTTGGCCTTGAGTGAGGATTGGCAGGAGAAGAACTTGTACTAATATACGACTTGTTGAACATAATCTATTGGCACGAACGTTGTGCCAAGGCCTAGAAGTTCATTTCCCACGAAAGACTGGGAGTTAACAGGCATTTGCCTATACAACGAGAATAAAACCGATTCTCTTTAAACTATTCCAGATAAAAACACCCATCTCGTGCAATGTAACTGCTTTATTTTATTTTTCCCTCATTAACAACGCCCATGTATTTACATTTCAATTTTACTTTTTATCCATTTTTTAATTCTTCTTCTTCAAATTTTACCTTTTTCATTCTCCATTCATTAAAAAAAAAAAAAAAAATGTTTACTATTAATTTATTGATAAAATATTTATTATTTTTTCTAAAAAAATTTAAATATTAATTTATAATAACAATTTAATACAAATAATAATAAATTATTATTCTTAATTTATTAATAAATTCATTTCATAAAATATTAATTGCATAATTTTCAAATTTATTAATTAACAATATTGAAGTAGTACACCCAGAGAAATGGTATATTTGTCTCAGAACCAACTAGACTTTTTATTTGTTTGAAATAAATTTTATTTGGTTTAAATAAAATTTTATTTATCTCAAATATATGTTTTATTTGTGTCGAATAAAATTTTTATTTAAAAGAAATAAAAAGTCTAGTTGGTTCTGAGACAAATATACGTTTATTTAACTCAAATAAAATATATTTGGTTTAAATAATATTTTTCTCTGGGTGTAACAATTTGTAATTATATTTTTTTTCTTTTTCAACTTTCTTTATATTTAAAAACATTTTTTACATATTAAAAAAATGTTTTTTTTCTGACGCAAGAAATTTTTATTATTCTATTTTTATTTGTAAAAAACATTTTCAAATTTATAAATAGTTCCATTTTATATAGGCTTATTATAAAATACATATATATGTATAATATTTTTCAATCAATTCAAAATACCTAGTCGTGTTGTAAATTTATTTTTATCTTTAAGAATTAAATTAACATTAGAAAGATCAAATTCTATTTTGCTTAGTTGAGAATTTTTATACATTTTATCATTAATTCTCTGGCCATTATAGGAAAAAGCACTTAAAAAAGAGACATGAATATATTTTTTTTTTTTCATTGAGTGTTTTTATTATAAAATTTTATTATAAAATCAAAATTCATTAAAATTTATTTCTGTGATAAAGAAAAAGAGAAAAATATTCTAAATGACATAATTATTAATTCAAGGACCAATTTTTTTTCTCTCTAGAATTTTATGTATTTAAAAATAATTAATATTTATTATCTATTTTGTTTGTGGATCTTTTTTTTTTAATTTTGTTTTTTGTTTAGTTTCTATAAAACTAAAATTACTAAAATTACTATAATTAATCAAATTAATAAAATTTATAAAATTTATAAAATTAATAAAATTAATAAAATTAATAAAATTAATAAAATTAATAAAATTAATAAAATTAATAAAATTAATAAAATTTATTAGATTAATAAAATTAATAAAATTAATAAAAATTCTAAATTTAAAATAACTTTTCTCATTGAAAACCAAAAATAATTTTTAAATAGAAGTTTTAAATTTTAATTTAATTTTTTTCCTCTTTTTGGCAAAATAAATTAAAGTCATCTTAATTTAATTAAATTACAATTTAATAATTAGTTAGTTATTAATTATTTTAATATTAATAATTTTGTGCAATTTGTAATATAAATTCGTTATTAATTAGTTATAAATAATAATAGCTAATTGATAATAAATAAGAATAAATGAGAATAATAATGAATTATTTTTTATTACTAATTAATAACTAACTTTTTTAGTAGTTGAATATTATTATTATTGTTATAATGAATCAGTTAATAATTAATTTCGTCTTTACATTTAAATAAATAAATTATTACTTAAATTAATAATTAATAAATAAAAAAATTACTCTGGAATTTTGAATTTGTAAAAATATTTATTAATTTAAATTAATGACTGATTTTTTTGCTATGGAATTAGTAAATTTGACTAATAAATAATAATTTCTACTAATTTATTACTTCCTGATTTTTTGCTATTGAATTAATATATTTTACTAATAAATCGTAATTTCTACAAAATTTTATTAGTAAAATTTACTAACTGACTGACTTTTTGCTATTTAATTAGTAATTATTATTAATAAATAGCAGTTCTACTAATTTATTAGTAAAATTTACTAATAAAAAGTAATTTCTTTTTATTTATTAGTAAACTTTAATAAATTACTGACTTTTTGCTATTGAAATAGTAAATTTTACTAATAAATAGTAATGTCTACTAAATTTTATTAGTAAAATTTACTAATAAATAGTAATTTCTTTTAATTTATTAATAAACTTTATTTACTTACTGACTTTTTGCTATTGAAATAGTAAATTTTACTAATAAATAGTAATTTCTACAAAATTTTATTAGTAAAATTTACTAATAAATCGTAATTTCTACAAAATTTTATTAGTAAAATTTACTAACTGACTGACTTTTTGCTATTTAATTAGTAATTATTATTAATAAATAGCAGTTCTACTAATTTATTAGTAAAATTTACTAATAAAAAGTAATTTCTTTTTATTTATTAGTAAACTTTAATAAATTACTGACTTTTTGCTATTGAAATAGTAAATTTTACTAATAAATAGTAATGTCTACTAAATTTTATTAGTAAAATTTACTAATAAATAGTAATTTCTTTTAATTTATTAATAAACTTTATTTACTTACTGACTTTTTGCTATTGAAATAGTAAATTTTACTAATAAATAGTAATTTCTACAAAATTTTATTAGTAAAATTTACTAATAAATAGTAATTTCTTTTAATTTATTAATAAACTTTATTTACTTACTGACTTTTTGCTATTGAAATAGTAAATTTTACTAATAAATAGTAATTTCTACAAAATTTTATTAGTAAAATTTACTAATAAATAGTAATTTCTACAAAGTTTTATTAGTAAAATTTACTAACTGACTGACTTTTTGCTATTTAATTAGTAATTATTATTAATAAATAGCAGTTCTACTAATTTATTAGTAAAATTTAGTAACAAATAGTAATTTCTATTAATTTATTAGTAAAATTTACTTACTGACTGATTTTTTGCTTTTTAATTAGTAAATTTTATTAATAAATAGTAGTTCTACTAATTATTTAGTAAAATTTACTTACTTTTTGATTTTTTGCTATTGAATTAGTTAGATTTATTAATAATAGTAATTTTTACTATTTTATTAGTAAAATTAGCTTAGCTTAGTAAATTTAGCTTTGCTTTTTAATTAGTAAATTTTACTAATAAATAGTAATTTCTACTAATTTATCAGTAAAATTTACTTACTGACTGACTTTTTACTATTTAATTAGTAAATTTTATTAATAAATTAGTAGAAATTACTATTTCTTAGTAAAATTTACTAATTAAAAAGCAAAAGCCTGACACTAAGCTAATTTTACTAATAAAATAGTAAAAATAAAAATAGTAGTATTAAAATAGTAAATACTAATTTATTAGTAAAATTTACTTACTGACTGACTTTTTACTATTTAAATAGTAAATTTCACTAATAAATAGTAATTTCTGTTCTTTAGTAAATTTACATAGTGACTGACTTTTTGCTTTCGAATTAGTAAATCTTATTAATTAATTTACTAGAAATAACTGTTTCTTAGTAAAACTTACTAATTCAATAGCAAATATTCAGTCACTATTTTAAATTAGTAAATAGTTTTACTAATTCAAATTTTAAGTAACAATATGATAATAATTTAATTATTAATTGTTTATGATTATTATTATTATTATTTTTTTTTATTTTTATTGTTATTTTATTATTATTATTATTATTATTATTATTATTATTATTTTTATTGTTATTATTTTATTATTATTATTATTATTATTATTATTATTATTATTATTATTATTATTATTATTATTATTATTATTATTATTATTATAATTATTATTTATTTGTGTCTTTATTATTATTTTTTTAATTTACTTTTATTGTTATTATTATTATTTTATTAATTCACTTTTATTGTTATTATATTATTATTTTATTATTATAATTTATTTTTATAATTATTATTTATATTTGCTTATTTATTATTATTTTTTAAATTCACTTTTATTGTTCAAAAGTTGATTTTTCCCGATTTGGGAAATTAAGGGGAGAAAAAAAAATTTACAATCAACGGGAAGCGAACCCCCGATGATCTGCCCGCGGTCAGAGGCTAACGCACTTACCACGAGGCTATGACGCAAAGCAACTTCGATTAAATTTTTTTTCTCAAAAATTCCACTCAATTAAAGTTAATAAAACTTTTAATAGTATAAAAAAAAAGTTGAATTTAATTTCCCCGTTGACAGTTTAATAATTACAAAACACACGATAAATTAGTGTGCGAGTGTAATTGCAAAATGTGAAATATAATTGTATAACGAAAAAAAAAGCAGTGAAGTTTCGAAAATATATTTGTGCAATCTGATGTGCGAATAATTTTTTTTACTCAAAAAAGGTAAGTGGAATTTAAAAAAAAAATTTTTTTTTTTTTAAAAGTAAAAAATGAGATTAGAAAAGGGGGGGGGGGGTAGTAAAAAGAGTATAGCGGGGGGAGATGTTATAATGTATTGGTCCAAAATACACTTTCCAAGATTATGTAAAATGTTGGAAATAAGAAGTGCATAGTTAGAGCTCCTTGGATACGATGATGATGATGGTGATGATGATGGTCTACAGTGGTGTGTAGACGGACAGTATAAAGGTCGGCCGTGCCCCCATCTCCCGAAGAGTCGCTCACGAACTTTACATCGGCAATCATCCAACAGTGATCTCTATGAAACACTAATACATGAATATATGACAAACATTCTCACACACACACACACACACAGACAAATACATAAAAAGACAAAACAACAATAACGTTTATTGTGAATAGAGTGAACATTTATTTTTTTTTGTTCTTTACAACATCAGTGACACCAACAAAAACAATCAACATGCGTTTTCTGGTGAGTCATTTTAATTTCAATTTAATGAAAATTTAATTAAACAAAAAAACACTAAAATATTCAAAAATTAATTTATTGTAATTTAAAATGAAATTTTTTTTTATTTTCTCGATTCGAAATTTTTTTTGGGTTTGGAAAAATTTGATTTGATTGGCCAAACATTCGGGGGAATTAGTATAATATTTGGCAGAATTGGCAAAACATTTGACAGAATTAGCCAAATTTTCTACAATTTGGCTAATTTTTGTACAACATTAGAAACACGTTTGGTAGGATTGACTAAATGTTTGGTTAAATAAAGTAAACGTTTGGTTAAATAAAGTAAACATTTGGTAGAATTAACAAAATATTTAGTAGAATTAACTGAATGTTTGGTTAAATAAAACAAATATTTGGCAGAATTAGCCAAAGGTTTGGTATATATAGCCAAATGGTAAAATTAGACACATTTTTTTACACATTTTGGTAGAATTTAATAAATATTTAATTAAATACAGAAAAATATTTGATAGAATTAGCCAAACATTTGACGAAATTAACCAAACATTTGGCGAAATTAATTAAACATTTGATAGAATTTAACATATGGTGAAATTAACCAAATATTTGGTAGAATTAACTGAATATTTGGATGAAAAAAAAATATTTGGCGGAATTAGACAAATTGTAGAATTAGAAATACGTTTGGTAGGATTGATTAAATATTTGGTTAAATAAAGTAAACATTTGGTAGAATTAACAAAATATTTAGTAAATTTAACTAAATATTTGGTTAAATAAAACATATTTGGCAGAATTAGCCAACAATTGGAATATTTAGCCAAATGGTAAAATTAGAGACACATTTTGGTAGAATTTAATAAATATTTAATTAAATACAGCAAATATTTGGTAGAGTTATCCAAACTTTTAGCAGAATTAACCAAACATTTGATAGAATTAGCCAAATATTTGGTAGAAGTAATTGAACATTTGGCTAAATAAAACAAATATTTGGTAGAATTAATTGAATATTTGGCTAAATAAAACAAATATTTGGTAGAATTAGAGACACATTTGGTAGAGTTGGCTAAATATTTGATTAAATAACACAATAATTTCGTAGAATTAGCCAAACAATTTAATAGAAGTTGACAAATATTTGATGGAACTAATTAAATATTTGGTTAAATAAAACAAGTATTTGGTATAATTAGCCAAATATTCGAAATAATCAAACAAATATTTGGTAGAATTAACCAAATATTTGAATGAAATAGCCAGATATTTTGGTAGAATTAGCCAAATATTTGAATAAATTAACCAAATATTTGGTAGAGTTACCTTAACATTTGGTTCAGTTCACCAAAAATATTTGGTGAAATTGAATAAATATCTACTGTTAGATTAACCAAATATTTTGTTTGGTTACTTTAAAATTTGTTAGACTTTAATTTTTTTATGAATATTTGGTTAAATTGATAAAAAAATTTGATTGTTTTTGAAATATTATTGAACATTTTGTTGGAGTGGAAAAGATTTAACCAAACTTCTTTTTTTGGTAAAAATACCCAAATATTTGGTAGATTTAACCAAACTTTTTTTGGTAAAAATACCCAAAAATTTGGTAAAACATACCCAAATATTTGGTAGAATTAATCAAACATTTTGTTGAATTAATCAAATATTTGGTAGAATTACCCAATTACTTGGTAGAATTAAACAAAAAAAAATTGATAAAGGTTGCCAAACATTTGATTAAATTTACCGAATATTTGAAAGTTTAATTAAATTGAGCAAACATTTAGTTGAATTGAACAAATATTTAATTATATTGAATTAACATTTGACTAAATTGGCCAAATATTGGATTGAATTATATTGACAAATTTGTTTGGATTTACTAAACAGGTAATTGATATATTTCGAAATTGCATTTACCAAAAATTTGATTGGTATTTATTATAAAAATTCCATTAACCAAACATTTGATTAAAATGACCAAAATATTTCGTCGGTTTGACTTAAAGTTTAGTTAAAAAAAGTAAACATTTAGTTAAAAAAAATAAAAATTTAGTTCAATTTGACTGAAAATTTGGGCAAAATAATCTAATAGTTGATTAGATTGACTAAATATTCGGTTAATATTGCCCAAACATTTTAGTTTTCAATTAAACCAAATATTTCTTTGAAATAACCTAACATTTTCCATTGGAATGATAAAAGTAGCAAAATTTTGCAAATAAATTTAAAATTTGAATAAATTTATATCTACTGTTTTTTTTTTTTTTTTTTTTTTTATTGATTTATTTACGCAGAAAGAAATGCGAAAAAAATGCAAATTTCGAATGAAGAAGAAATGATTCTCGTTATGTAATCGCCCAATAGGCGTGAAGTTGTTATAGATATTTTGTGTATATACATATATAATGTGTATAAACAAGAATCAAGAAACTCATAAAATAGAAAGTGAATGCTCGATGTCTGACATTTCGAGAAAATTTTATTTATATCTTCTATTTATGTATAACACACATTCTATAACATTATATTGAGAATTTTGCCATTTTGCCATTTTGCATTTTTGTTTTTAAATATCGTCCCTAGTGTTGCGAAATAATTGCAAGGCTTCGACTATTTTTTTTTTGTTTTGCTTTTTTACGATTGATTTTTATTTTTTGAGATTTAGGAAATTTTTTTTTTTTTTTATTGAAAATAAATAAATCAAAAAAATTTAACAAGATGTAAACAAAAAAATTAAAAATTCACAAAAACAAAAAATTGAAACAAAGTATAAAAACTAAAACAAAATACATTGTATATAAAAACTAAAACAATACAAAAATAAAACAAACTAAAACAATACACAAAAACAAACTAAAACAATACACAAAAACAAACAATGAAACAAAAAAAAAACAAAAACTAAAAACAAAAATACAAAAACAAAAACAAAAATACAAAATCAAAACAAACTGAAATAAAAACAAAAAACTAAAACAATACAAAAATAAAACAAATACAAAAATACAAAAACTAAAACAAAAACTGTAACAAGAATGCAAAAGCAAAAACAAAAACTGAAACAAAAATACAAAAGCAAATCAAAGTGAAACACAATAAACTGTCATAAAAACAAAAAACATAAAATATACAAAAATAAAAAAAATACAAAATCTGAAACAAAACTACAAAAACAAAAACTGAAACAAGAAAACAAAAGCAAAACAAACTGACACAAAATATAAAAACAAAAAAATGAAACAATACAAACACGAAAAACTAAAACAATACAAAAATGAAATAAATACAAAAGCTGAAACAAAAATTCAAAAATAAAAAATTGAATCAATACAAAAATGAAACAAATACAAAAACAAAAAACTGAAACAATACAAAAACGAAACAAATACAAAAATAAAAAATTGTATCAATACAAAAATGAAACAAAAATTAAAAAATATAAAATTGAAACAATACAAAAATGAAACAAATACAAAAAACAAAAAACTGAAACCATACAAAAACGAAACAAATACAAAAATGCAAAAATAAAAAATTGAATCAATAAAAAAATGAAACAAAAATTAAAAAATATAAAATTGAAACAATACAAACATGAAACAAATACAAAAACAAAAAACTGAAACAATACAAAAACGAAACAAATACAAAAACTGGAACAAAAATTGAAAACAAAAAAATTGAAACAATACAAAAATGAAACAAATACGAAAATAAAAAGCTGAAACAAAACAAAAACGAAACAAATACAAAAACTGGAACAAAAATTCTAAAATATAAAATTGAAACAATACAAAAATGAAACAAATACAAAAATAAAAAACTGAAACAATACAAAAACGAAACAAATACAAAACCTGGAACAAAAATTCTAAAATATAAAATTGAAACAATACAAAAATGAAACAAATACAAAAATAAAAAACTGAAACAATACAAAAACGAAACCAAATACAAAAATTCAAAAATAAAAAATTGTATCAATACAAAAATGAAACAAATACAAAAACTGGAACAAAAATTCAAAAATAAAAAATTAAAACAATACAAAAACGAAACCAAATACAAAAATTCAAAAATAAAAAATTGTATCAATACAAAAATGAAACAAATACAAAAACTGGAACAAAAATTCAAAAATAAAAAATTAAAACAATACAAAAATGAAACAAATACAAAAACTGAAAGAAAAATGAAACAAAATTAGTAAAGACGAAACAAAAAGATAAAACAAAAATAAAACACAAGCAAAATAGAATAGAACAAAAAATTGAATCAATTTTAAGACAAAAAGCAAAATGTCGAAACAAACAATACAAAACATACGAGAAACAAAAGAATCAGGAATAAAATGAAAAAGTGAAAATTGAAAAAATATTAAATTAAGACATTTGAAGCATAATTACAATATTTACAAAGTAAGAAATAAGAATCAATAAATAATCTCTGGAGATTAAATTGATATCAGTTTCATGCATATAAAGTATAAACATTATGTGAATCAGAATAAGCATAATAGTTTAATGACCTCTCTCTCTCTCACACAATAATAATGATTCAATAATTAATGCAACTGACAGAATAAATTATTTGCCATTTTTTCGCACAGAACTTAACAAAAAACTAATGCATGTATTTCAATTTCCAAACGTTATTATTGATCATTATCTTAATCCGCACAGTGAATACAAATCTCTAGTCTCACGAGATCCCATCAATAACAATATATTGAAGCCGCAATCATTAAATCAATCGTTCGGTAACACTTTCCTCATGTACAAAGTATATATATGTTTGTATTTTTTTTTACTCTTCTCTCGCGTACGGGAAAATAATTATTCTAAAGGTTAACAAATTTTCTTTTCTTTTATTTTTTTCTATTATTGTTTTAATACATCGGGTGTTTAGAAAGTTTATTGAATCGCAGGGAACACAAACTTTTCATCATCTTTTCACTTCTTTTTTGAAAATTTCGGCTCTAGATTTACTAAATTTAATTAATAAATAGTCATTTCTACTAAATATTAGTAAAAACTAGACTTTACTACTAAACAGTAATTTTTACTAAATATTAGTTAAATTTACTAAATTTAACTAATAAATAGTAATGTTTACTATTTCATTAGTAAATTTTACTAAACTTTAATAATAAATAGTAATTACTATTAAATACTAGTAAAAGTTAATAAACCTTACTAATAAATAGTTATTTCTACTAAATGTTAGTTAAATTTACTAAATTTAACTAATAAATAGTAATTACTACTAAATACTAGTAAAAATTAATCAACTTTACTAATAAATAGTTATTTCTACTAACTACTAGTAAATTTTACTAAACTTTACTAATAAATAGTCATTTCTACTAAATATTAGTAAAATTTACTAAATTAAACTAATAAATAGTAATGCTTACTATTTTATTAGTAAATTTTACTAAACTTTACTAATAAATAGTAATTACTACTAAATATTAGTAAAATTTACTAAATTTAACTAATAAATAGTAATGTTTACTATTTTATTAGTAAATTTTACTAAACTTTACTAATAAATAGTAATTACTACTAAATATTAGTAAAATTTACTAAATTTAACTAATAAATAGTAATGTTTACTATTTTATTAGTAAATTTTACTAAACTTTAGTTTACTATTTCATTAGTAAATGTTACTAAACTTTACTAATAAATAGTAATTTCTACTAAATGTTAGTTAAATTTAGTAAATTTAACTAATAAATAGTAATTACTACTAAATACTAGTTAAAGTTAATAAACCTTACTAATAAATAGTTACTTCTACTGACTACTAGTAAAATTTAGTAAACTTTACTAATAAATACTAATTTCTACTAAATATTAGTAAAATTTAGTATATTTAATTAACAAATAGCAATTACTAATAAATACAAGTAAAACTTAATAAACTTTACTAATAAAATAGTAATTTATACTGAAATAGTAGTGAAATTTACTAAACTTTTTACTAATAAATAGTAATTTCTACTAAATATTAGTAAAATTTTCTAAACTTTACTAATATATAAGGAATTTCTATTAAATATTAGTAAAATTTACTAAACAGTAATTTCTACTAATTAATTAGTAAAATTTACTAAACTTTACTATAACAAAAAGTAATATTTATACTAATTTTTTACTAAAACTTACTAAACTTTACTAGTAATAAATAGTAATGTCTATTAAATACCAGTACAATTTACTAAACTTTATTACATATTTTTTATTAAAGTTTACTGAACTTTACTACAATAATAAAATGTAATTTCTACTATTTCATTACTAAAATTTACTAAACTTTACTTATAATTACTTATATATTATTTTACTTATAATTGAATTCTTGAATTAAAATAATTTAATTTTTAAGAAAATTTTATTTTTTTATAAAAATAATTGAATTTACCGTTTGGTTTTTATTAAAATTTCTGAAAAGAATTGAATTTCAGTGAAGAATTTTATTATTTTAAAAGATAATTCAATTCTTAAATTCAAATAATTGAATCTTTACGAAAATTTCATATTTTTAATAAAAATAATTGAACTTATTGTCTTGGAATTTTATTAAATTTTTTTTTTTAAAATTGAATTTCTAGAAAGAATTTTATTATTTTTTTGAAATAATTGAATTCTTGAATTGAAATGATTGAATTTTTACGAAAATTTTATTTTTTAATAAAGATAATTGAATTCTTGTCTTACATATAAACTGTAAAAATAAATAATTGAATTCTTGTCTAAGAATTTTATAAAAATTTTTGAAAAGAACTTAATTTCAGTAAAGATTTTTATTATTTTAAAAGATAATTGAATTCTTAAATTAAAATAATTGAATCTTTACGAAAATTTCATTTTTTTAAAGAAATAATTGTATATTATTGTCTTAGAATTTTATTAAAATTTTTAAAAAGAATTGAATTTAAGTGAAGAATTTTTTTATATTTGAAGATAATTGAATTCTGAAATTGAAATAATTGCATTTTTGTGAAGAATTTTGTTATTTAAGAAATTGAAATTTATGAAAAGAATTGAATTTCTAGAAAGAATTTTATTATTTTTTGAAGATAATTGAATTCTTGAATTGAAATAATTGAATTTTTATAAAAAATTGAATTTTTTTTTAAAATAACTAAATTCTTATCTTAGAATGTTATTAAAAATTTATGAAAAAAATTGAATTTTTTGAAAATTTTTATATTGTTAGAAATAATTGAATTCGCTTGAATTGAAATAATTTAATTTTTACGAAAATTTAATTTTTTATAAAAATAATTGAATTCTTGTCTTATACACTGAAAAAATAAATAATTGAATTCTTGTCTAAGAATTTAATTAAAATTTTTGAAAAGAATTGAAGTTCTAGAAAGAATTGAAATAATTGAATTTTTACGAAAATTTTATTTTTTTATAAAAATAATTGAATTCTTGTCTTGGAATATTATTAAAATTTTTGAAAAGAATTGAAGAATTGAATTTTTTAGAAAGAGTTTTAATATTTTTGTAGATAATTGAATTTTTATCAAGATTGTTATTAAAATTTTTAAAAATAATTGAATTCTTGCTAAGAAGTTTAGATAAATACTTTTAAATATATAAAATTATTGAAAGTTAATTGAATTATTAATTGTTTTGTAATCTTTATAAAATGCAATTAATTTAAAAATTGTTAAGTAAAATTATTTATAAAAATCTCCATTATTTTTCGAAGAAATTCAATTATTTAAAAATTTTTTTATAAAATTCTTTGAAGAAATTCAATTATTTCCAAATAGAATTTTTTTATCAAATATTTTTATCAAATACAAATTATTTTCAATTACATTCAAATCCTGGGAAAAAATTCTTCAATGTAATTCGATGGAATTCAATTATTTTTGAAAAAAAATCTTGAAATTAATTAAATTCTTTTCAAATTTTTTGATAAATTTCTTCGAATCAATTCAATTATGATGAAAAAAATCTTCGGAGGAATTCAATTACATTCAAATCTTTTCATAAAATTCTTCAAAGAAATTCAATTATTTTTAAATTTTTAATAAAATTCTTCGAAGGAATTCAATTATTTTCAATTAATTTTCAATTATTTTGATTAAATTCTTCGATGCGGAATTTAATTATTTTGAAAAAAATTCTTCGAAGGAATTCAATTATTTTCAATTAATTTTCAATTATTATTTTAATTAAATTCTTTGATGGAATTCAATTATTTCGCAAAAATTTTAGTAAACAAAAAAGCAAACAATTAAATTGAGCAATACAAGGATTTATTAATATAGTTTTCTTTTTTTTTTTAATTATTTTCAATTATTTTCTAAAAAATTTCCATTTTTTTTTTAGATTCTCGTGACACTGGTGGGCCTGTCACAGGCGCAGGACCTGTACTTCAGAGAGCCGGAGAAAATAGTGAGCGAGTCACGTGACCTGGGCGACACAAGGGGCAATTACGCCTTCACCTACGAGACGGAGGGGGGGATTCTGCAGAGGGAGCAGGGCAGTCGAAAATACGAGGGCACGAGCGACGAGACGCAATTAATTCAGGGCTCAGTGCAGTACAATGCGCCCGATGGAACGCCAATTGCCATAAGTTGGACAGCGGACGAGTTCGGTGCGCAGGTCTCCGGCACGCATGTGCCAACACCCCCACCAATTCCCCCAGCGATCCAGCGCGCTCTCGATTGGCTCGCCAAGCAGCCCTCCACCACCGAGCAGCCCGAGGACGCCGTCGAGTATAAAAAGCCATCGGCCATTGAGAAGAAGCCAGTCTTGTTGAAGCAGCAGTATCGACCACCACAGGCCAGAAGAAATTGAAGTCACTCATTAAATATCATTATTTATTAGATCTGATTTTCTTTTAGTTCGATTATTTTCTTTTTCTCTTTCCCTCCCACTTTCACTTCTTTTACCATTTACTGCGCAGTTTTTCAGTATTTTTGTACATTTAGTTTAGAGGAAAAAAAAAAAATGTAAAAATTGTCTCATATGTTACACTTTTAGATAATTAAGAAAGAAAAACAAAAAAAAAGTCAAATTTGTTTATTGAAATAAATTTTAAATATTTTTTACGCATTGTTTATTATTTTATTTAGGTGAGGAATTTTTTTTAAATATTTATTTTTTTTTTGCTTAAAAAAATTTATGTTTATTATAATGGCCACCTTTTTATGTTTATTAATTAATAATTAATACATAATTGAAATAATTTAGAAGTAATAATAATTAACAACTAATGTTTATTAAAATAATACCTCTGTCCCTTTTTATTTTAAGCAATTAATAATTAATACATAATTGAAATAATATTGAACTAATAATAATTAACAACTAATTATAGTAATTCGCTACTAATTATGATACTTAACAATAAATTGTACTAATTAACAAACTAATTATGATACTTAACAACAAATTGTAATGATTAACAAATATTTATGATACTTAACAACAAATTGTTAAAAGTAACAACTATTTATGATACTTAACAATAAATTGTAATAATTAACAACTATTTATGATATTTAACAACAAATTGTTAAAAGAAACAACTATTTATTATATTTAACAACAATAAATAATAATTAACAACTATTTATGATATTTAACAACAAATTGTCATACTTAACGACAAATTATTATATTTAAAAACAAATTGTTAAAAGTAACAACTATTTGTGATATTTAACAACAAATTATTATATTTAAAAACAAATTGTTAAAAGTAACAACTATTTGTGATATTTAACAACAAACTGTCATACTTAACAACAAATTGATATATTTAACAACAAATTGGCATAATTAATAACAAATTGTTACAATTAATTCATAATTGAAATAATTTAGAACTAATAATAATTAACAACTAATTATAATAATTAACAAACTAATTATAATAATTAACAACTAATTTAAGTAACTCGCATCTAATTATGATACTTAACAACAAATTGTTAAAAGTAACAACTATTTGTGATAATTAACAAGAAATTGGTGCACTTAACAATAAATAATAATTAACAACTATTTATGATAATTATAAACAAATTGTCATATTTAACAACAAATTACTATAATTAACAACAAATTGTTATAATTAACAACAAATTGTTGTAAGTAACAATAAATTGTTATAATTAACAACAAATTGTTGTAAGTAACAATAAATTGTTATAATTAACAACAAATTGTTGTAAGTAACAACAAATTGTTATAATTAACAATATTTATGATAATTAAAAATAAATTGTCATACTTAACAACAAATGAATATAATTAACAACAAATTGTCATACTAACAACAAATTGGTATAATTAATAACAAATTGTTTTAATTAACAACAAATTGTTATAATTAACAACTATTTATGATAATTAAAAACAAATTGTTGTAAGTAACAACAAATTGTTATAATTAACAACTATTTATGATAATTAAAAACAAATTATGAAAATGAACTATTTATTAAAATTTTTGAAACGAATTGAATTTTTACAAAAATTTTATCTTAGAATGTTCTTATAATTTTTGAAAAGAATTGAGTTTTTAGAGAGTTTTTTAAATTAATAAAAAGTAATTGAATTCTTGAACTGAAATAATTGAATTTTTATGAAAAAAATTTTTTTTTAAATAATTGAATTGTTAATAAAATTTTTAAAAAGAATTGAATTTTTTGATAATTTTTATATTTTTAAAGAATAATTGAATTCTTGAATTGAAATAATTGAATTTTTACAAAAATTTTATTTTTTGAATAAAATAATTGATTTCTTGTCTTAGAATGTTATTAAAATTTTTGAAAAGAATTTAGTTTTTAGAGAGTTTTTAAATGATTAAAAAGTAATTGAACTCTTGAATTGATATAATTGAAGTTTTGGGATCAATTTAATTAATTTTGTAAATAATTAAATTCTTGAATTGAAATTATTAAATTTTTACGAAAATATTATTTTTTATAAACATAATTGAATACTTGTCTTAGAATATTATAAAAATTTTTGAAGATAATTGAATTTTTGAATTTCTGTGAAGAATTTTATTATTTTTGGAAATAATTGAATTCTTTTGTATTGACACAGTGGAATTTTTAATAAAATTTTATTTTTTTATAAAAATGATTGAATTCTTGTCTAAGAATTTCTTAAAAAATTTTGAAAAGAATTGAATTTCTAGGATGAATTGAATTATTTCAGTAGATAATTGAATTCTTAAATTGAAATAATTGAATTTTTGTTATCTTTTTAAAAAGAATGGAATTTTTTGAGAATTTTTATATTATTATTATTATTATTAAAGATAATTGAATTCATCAATTAAAATAATTGAATTTTTCATGAAAAATTTCGTTCGTTAGAAAATTAAAATTTTTTGAAAAGAATTGAATTTCAGGGAAGAATAATTGTATTATTTTTGTAAATAATAAATTCTTGAATTGAAATAATTGAATAATGATTAACAACTATTTATGGTAATTAAAAACAAATTGTTATACTTAACAACAAATTATTTTAATTAACATGAAATGGTTTTAATTAATAACAAATTGTTATAATTAACAGCAAATTGTTGTAACTAATTATAATAAATAATCATTAATTAGAGTAATTATTTTTTTAATTCAAAGAAATGAATGAAATAATAAATTTTTTCAAAGTACAAGGAATAATGGAAATTTGTAAGAAAAACCATTATGTTTTTTGTGAATTTTTATTTTTTATTAGAAAATGAATTTCTCACTAATATTACTAGTTTCTTCCATTAACTGCCTTCCAGCATGTCTTTCTTAATTGTCCAAAAAACGCTCTACATTTCCATCCATTGCAACAGTCACTGTCAAATCTGCAACGTTGTTTATATTTTTTACATGCCAAAGTCGAACCAAACGTGGCCAAGATACAAACGATAAGTATCAACAAGGTTTTTGTAAAATGCATTTTTTTTTAAATTTTGGTTGAATTTTGAATTTTGCTAATTTTTTTTTCTTTATTAATCGAAAAGAAAAAAAATACTTATTCTTATAATAAAGTCACAGATTTCTTTAAAAAAAAACAGAATTGTTCTTTATATAGTTGACAGTTCTCGAATTTTCGTGTAACATTTTAATATTATCTGTAAATATAAGGAAAGGGGGGGGGGGTGTTTCCTTGATCCACTTAAAATTGCTTAATACTTTGTTTATTAATTAAAAGTTTAATCTTGATAAAGTATTTTTTTATCCGGATATTGATAAAAGAAAAAGAAAAAAAAAATTCCACTCTCGTTAATTAATTATACATTATATGTATTTTTATTTATTTTATATGAATGTTAAGCCAAAACAAAATGGCACTTTTTTTACTTTTGAAAAAGCCAAAAAGTGCCATTTTTAAAACAAATTTTTAATTCAGAAATTAGGCTTTTAAGACCATTTTCTTTTTTCAAGGAAAAATTGTTTTCTTATTCAGAGATGAATAATAAATAGTTCCCTAGCAAAAAGAACCCTTTTTTTAAAAAAAGCACTTTTTAACGAAAAAGTGCCATTTTTTGGAAAAATTATTAATTCGGTTGAAATTAAATTTTTAGACCATTTTCTTTTTTCGAGGAAAAATATTTTTGTTATTTCGAAATGAATAATAAACAACTCCCTAGTAAAAAGAACCCCACCTTTTTTTTTTTTTTTTTTTTACAAAAAAGCACTTTTTAACGAAAAAGTGCCATTTTCGAAAAAATTAATAATTTGGTTCAAATTAAACTTCGGGACCATTTTCTTTTTTCGAGGAAAATATATTTTCTTATTAAGAGATGAATAATAAACAGTTTCCTAGCGAAAAGGACCTTTTTTTTATAAAAAAAAGTACTTTTGAACGAAAAAGTGCCATTTTTTGAAAAAAATTATTAACTCGGTTGAAATTAAACTTTGAGAACATTTTTTTTTTCAAAATAAAATTAGCTTGTTATTCAGAGATGAATAATGAAAAAAAGCAATTTTTAAGAATAATGAACAATTTGGTAAATTCAGCTTCGAGACCATTTTCTTTTCTCAAGGGAAAAATATTTTACGATTCAAAGATGGTATAATAAACAGTTTCTTGATATTTTGGTTTTTTCGGGAAAAAACCCTTTTTTACAAAAAAAATGCTCTTTTTATCGAAAAAGTGCCATTTTTGAAAATAAGTTAGAAATCGGTTAAAATTAAGATTCGAGACCATTTTCTTTTCTCAAATAAAAAGTATTTTATGTTTCAAAAATGGGGCGCATGATTATTCCCCAAATGTCATTTTTCCGAAATGTCATTTTACCGAACTGCACTTTTGCGAATACTCATTTTTGCGAAAAGCCAATTTTGCGAAATGTCAATTTTCCGAAAAGTCATTTTTGCGAATCGTCATTTTTACGAATTGTCAAATTTCGGAAAAGTCATTTTTGCGAATTGTCATTTTTAAGAAATGTCATTTTTGCGAATTGTCACTTTTGCGAATCGCTATTTTTACGAATCGCCATTTTTACGAATTGTAATTTTTGCGAATAGTCATTTTTGCGAAAAGTTATTTTTACGAATTGTCATTGTTGCGAATTGTCATTTTTGCAAAAAGCTATTTTTGCGAACTGTCATTTTTGCGAATCGACATTTTTACGAATTGTTAATTTTCCGAAAAGTCATTTTTGCGAATCGCCATTTTTACGAATTGTCAATTTTTCGAAAAGTCATTTTAGCGAATTGTCATTTTTGCGAAAAATACTATAGTGAATTTATAGACCTACAAGTTTTCTATTGTATTTTTCGCAAAAATGACAATTCGCAAAAATGACAATTCGTAAAAATAACTTTTCGCAAAAATGACAATTCGTAAAAATGGCGATTCGCAAAAGTGACAATTCGCAAAAATGACATTTCTTAAAAATGACAATTCGCAAAAATGGCAATTCGTAAAAATGACTTTTCGCAAAAATGACATTTCACAAATATGTCTTTTCGTAAAAATGACAATTCGCAAAAATGAGTTTTCGAAAAATTGACAAATCGTAAAAATGGCGATTCGCAAAAATGACTTTTCGGAAATTTGACAATTCGTAAAAATGGCGATTCGC